TCTAACACCTACAATGTACAGGTCTCGGAGATCGAGAAGTGGATCCAGGCGGAGGGCGATCGCCTACAGCGCGAGGGTCGTCTGCGGATGGAGACAGAGCTCAATCACTGGCAGAAGATCGAGCGTCAGCGCCTACTGGATCTGATCAACAAAAACGACTTGTCCATCGATGAGATCGAGACGAAGATCGGCCGCGATCAGACCCACCTTTATAGCCTCGCCCAGCAGTACCAGGTGCGCGTGGAAGAGATCGAACAGTGGATCAAGCAGCAGATCCAGAAACTCCAGGACGAGGGCCTCATCGAGATGCAGCGCCTGAAGAACTGGCAGCTGGAGTGGCGTGGAAACCTCACCAATATGGTGCAGGATCGCGACTTCACCGTCGAGGAGTTCCACAAGTGGCTGCTGAAGGATCGTGCCCAGCTGCAGAGCCTGGCCATGCAACACAATGTCCAGATCGAGGAGATCGAACAGTTTGTGAAGAAGGAGGAGCAGCGCTTCATTGGAATGGGTCTGTTGAAACCCAGCGAGAAGCTCACCAACTGGCAGGAGGTGGAGCGTCTCCACCTGAAGAATCTCGCCCAGCAGCAGTACAAGTCCACGGAACAGCTGGAGGCTCGTCTGCGACAAGATCGTGAGCTGCTGGAACGCCTCGCGCGCCAGTACAGCGTCCAGGTGGAGGAGATCGAACTCTGGATGAAGCAGGAGCTGGCACGCATGCGCGACGAGGGTCAATTGCAGATCGATAATCTCACGTCCTGGCAGCTGGCGGAACGCGAACGCCTCGAGGCTCTGATCAGCCAGAACAAGCAATGGAGCGCCGAGGAACTGAAGGCAGAGCTGGAGAAGGATCGCGAGCACATGCAGACGATGGCCTTCCAGTATCACACATCCGTGGAGGAGATTGAACGTTGGGTTCAAACGGAGATCGAGCGCTTGAAGCAGCAGGGAAAACTGAATATTGAGCAGCTGTCTGCCTGGCAAAGGACCGAACAGCAGAGGATCCTGTCCCTGCTTCAACAGCATTCGAATATCACCTTGGAACAGTTCCAGGCCAAGGTAAAGATGGTCTTTATTTACTGAAGAATATATATCCTAGTTTTAAAATTATTTATGCTTTTTTTAGGTCCAAAATGATCGTCGTTTCTTGATCAAACTCGCCGAACAGCACCATGTGAGTGTTGTGGAGGTCGAGACCTATGTGAAACAGGTCATCGAGGATCTCCACAAAAAAGGACAATTCGAAATGGAGCAGCTGCAGAACTGGCAGCTGGTGGAACGCGATTACATCAAGAATTTGATTGCAGAATACAAGAATGCATTGTCCACCGCAGAGTACGAACAGAAGCTGCTGGCCGATCGTGCCCATCTCAAACAATTGGCGGATCAGTACCGCATCAGTGTGGAGCAGATCGAGCAGTGGATGATCTCCGAGCTGAATCGCCTACGTGGCGACACGGAGTCGTCGCTGAAGAGCCTCAGTGCCTGGCAGGTCTCAGAGCTGGAACGCCTGCAGAACCTGGTCAAACAGCAGAACCATCTGACCTACGTGGAATTCGAAATGGAATTGAACCAAGAGCGAGAGCGTCTCCAAAAGCTGGCCAATCAGTACTCCGTGAATGTCGTGGAGATTGAGGAGTGGCTGCGCAATCAGTTGGTCAATCTGAAGAGCACGGGCCAGGGCAAGGTGGCGAATCTGACCAAATGGCAGGCCATAGAGCAGCAGCGTTTGATTGAGTTATTGCTGAAGAAGCAGCAGGAGCTGCCCTACGAAGATGTGGAACGGGAGCTGACCAAGGACCATGCCCGTCTCGAGAGCCTCTCCCAAACCCATCACGTGAGCATCGATCAAGTGGAGCAGTGGTCACGCGAGGAACTGCAGCGTCTGCAAAGCTCTGGCCTGGTCCAATTTGAACAGCAGACCCAGTGGCAGCAGCAGATCAGCCACGGCTTCAACGACTGGCTGCAGCAGCAGAGAAACGGCCCCAGCTACCAGGAGTTTGTGGACTTCCTGAAGCGGGACAAGCAGCGTCTGGATGGCATTGCCAGCGACTATCATGTGACGGTCGAGCAGGTGGAGAAGTGGGTCCAAAAGGAGGCCGCACGTCTCTCTCTCATTGGAGTCATTGATCGGCCGCAGAACAATGTGAAATACGAGGAGATTGTCAACATTTGGGAGGATCAACCCTCCTGGAAGAACGACCTGCTGTCGCGTCTGAGGAGTGTCACCAAATGGCGTCCCATGACCCGCCAGGAGTTCGAGAGCTATCTCATCCGCAACAAGGCCGTGCACGAGCAGCTGGCCCGACAGTACCACGTGACCGTTGAGGACATCCATCTCTGGCTGGAGAACGCTGCCCAGAAGGAGGGTCTCATCACAGTGCCCGTCGTCTTGGAACAATGGCAGATCAAAGAGCAGCAGTACATTCAGGATCTGATCAATCAGCAGCAGCGCAAGCAGCGAAAATGGACCATCGAAGAGCTGCAACTCAGGTTGAACAACGATCAGAGGCATCTCCAGGAGGCCATCCAGCAGTACCGTGTGACCATTGAGGAGCTCAAGGCCTGGTACAAGGATGAACTGAAGCGCTTGTTGGATCAAAGAAAGATCGATCGCGGATCGTCCCTGTCCTGGCAGAGCCAAGAGCTGGAGAGGATCTACCTGCAGGCCGTGAACAAGCCGGATATAGGCAGACAGGCTTTGGAGACTTTGCTGCTGAGGGATGTCCATGCCTTGGCCCCGCAATACCAGATATCTGTGGAGACACTGCGCCTCTTCATCCACGACAAACTAAGTCGCTTCGCGGACATGGGTCTGACGACGGACACCGCTCGACAGGTGAACAATTGGCACGAACAGGAGCGTATTCGCCTGAGGGAGGTGGCCACCAAGCTGGTGATCACCGAACAAGAGCTCCTGGAGTTCATTTCGCACGACGACAACTTCCAGAACCAATTGGCGCAGGTCTACCAGGTGGGTTTGGGTCAACTGGCCCCCGTCCAGAGGATAATCATCGGAAACTTTGCCAAGGAGCAGCTCCTGGAGCACCGCCAACTGAATCATCTGACCAACTGGCAGCGTCGCGAAAGGGATCGTCTGTACGAGTTCATTCGCACCCAGAACATGACCTTGACTCAGCTGAAGAGCTGGCAGAATCAGGACACGAAACTGCTGCAGGACTTTGCCGCAAAGTACGAGATCTCCGTGCAGGAGCTCAAGGAATGGCAGAAGCTGGAGCTGGAGCGCATCCAGAAGGTGGCCTACTATTATGGCATGACCCAGAGCGATCTGCAGCAGTTCCGCGAGGGAGAACTCCGCTGGCTGACGTACGTGAATCACCGCAAGCTGATGTCCGCCTCTGAGGCCCAGAACTGGGAGAAGACCCACAAATGGACGTTGGGCAGGCTGCAGAGCAGATACGGCAAATTTGGCCAGGAGCTGGTCATCTGGAGACGTGTCTTGTATCTGCTCAGCCAGGGATTGATCGATCTGCCTGCGGGCGGAAGTGCAGATGGTGGATATGTGGTCGACCCTGGCAGCACCAATGCCACGCATGTGTACAGGCCCATATTCTCCAAGGATCGCGGCGATCAGCCACCACACACGTACGAGGAGTCCTACGATGAGACAGACGAGCCCGGCCTCGAGGGCGAGACAAGGACGCCACGTCCCTACCCACGCCCATCGCCCATTCTGTCCACACCCCCTCCGCCATTGCCCTACAGTCGCGGCTCATCGCCCAGCGGTGGCTACGAGTACAGTCGTCGGGACTACACCTTCAATGTGCCCGTTGGAGGAGCCTCTGCATCGGCCAGTGGCGGACCCACCGGCTCCTCGGCCACGGCCAGTGCCACCTTAGGAAAATGGAGTCGTGCCGCAGGCGAGGAGCCCCAGGTCGAGGACTTAGGTCAGCAGCAGCAGGTCGAACTGGGATGGAACGAGGGGCAGCAACAGCAAGTGGAGGACACGGACTGGAATGCCAAGTACGAGGCGGGACAACAACAGTCCGAGAATCTCGAGGACCTCGGCCAGCAGCAGCAGCAGATTCAAGTGGAGGATCTGAGTGGCCTGGGGAGCTATGGGGGCCACAGCTCTTCCAGTGGACAGCTGCAGCGGCAGCCGTCAAAGGTGAGTTTTCCAACAAACTTTCCCTAAGAAACCGCTCTAATATTATTCTCTAATATATTTTTTTCCTAGGAATTGGAAGTGGAGGCCACCGCTGAGCCCTCGTTCTGGGAGAAGCTCAAGAGCAAGATCGGTTAGAGAGTCCTATATAAAAAGCACAAACTGCCATTTATCGAATACTTAGTTACGAAACGAAACCCAAACAAACAAAAACACTTCATATATTTTCTACAAATGTTTCTTTAATATTTAGTTTATAAATAAATAAATGAGATTTTGAAAGGTCACACTTGTACCGCCACACAAAAAACATTATTACTAAACATACTATCTGTTGCTCCCATAACTGTCTTTCTTCCATAACTCTCTATACTCCCTCTCTCTATAAGGACGTAATTTTTGTATTTTGTTCGTTTTCATTAATAAACTTTAAAAATATAATAGGCCATTTGTTGGTTTCTCTCTGCAAAATATAACAGTTTCAAAAGCGAGAATATAAACGTATTACTCTATGGTCTATATAGGAAAATTGAGGGTTCTCTGTGCTGTTAATTTTGCGGTTGCGATATGCTTGAAGAAGGCTTTAATGTTCATGTTTGGGACTGGTTTTGGTTTTGGTTTCTTGAGGGAGTTTATTTCCATGGGATCAGCAGATACAGTACACGCTCGATAAAGTCAAGAAAAATGGCATATTTCTGGGAAAATAATCTTTAAATACTTCATTCATTGTTTCAATGCCAATTAATGTGATAAAGTATCGACATTTTAGTACAACAAAAATTTAATTATCATTACGATAATTCTTTACTTTTTAACTTTATCTAAATCATTCGATTTTTAAATATTTTTCAACCAAAATTTCATTATACTGTCACATAAATTTGCATTGAAATAAAATCGATTACAAAGAGAAATTGATTGATCTATCTAAAAAAAATGATTAGCAATCCTTCAAATGATTCGACTTCTAAACGTATCGAGTGTTAGTTTTGGATCGCCCAAACCGATAATATTCCTTCTACTAAGTATTTTTAAAACCTAAATTTAATTTAACGAGCGTGCACTGTACTGTGCTATATGGAATCTAATGTTAACGATCGTTTTCTCTGCTCCAAATCAATTATTCTATTACAATATACTACACTCCTCAAAGGATCCTCCTTCATCTGGTCTTGTACACCCCTTTTTACATCTCTTAGAATACCCTTATATACATCATCTGCTCTCTCTGAATCAACTTATGGATGCCTCCAGCTCGGAGCCGCCTCCAAAATGCGAGGCCCTAAACTGTAGACCCTCCGTTACCTCCCCAACGGCCACAGCAGCTCCCATGCTCAGGCCATCTCCCGTTTCCTGGAGCACATGATGCTTCAGTTGCTCGATTTGGTGCAGCAATTTGAGCGTCTCATCGTCCAGATTGTCGTCTTCTTGGCGCAGCTGCAGCTGCTGTTCCCGCTCCTCGTCGACATCCCACTCGAGGGACTCCGGCGTGGAGATGTGCGACCACGAGTTCTGTGTGGAGGAACAGCAGGAGGTGCGCGTGAAGGAGCCGCCATGCCGATGATGGCTCCCCAAACGGGGATGTCGAGCAGCTGCGCCATAGCGTCCATGGCTGGCGGCAGCCATCGAGGCAGCCGTCGCAAGTTGGTCCAGGGAAGCGTAACGCGGCTGCTTTGCTGCCATCGGTGGGGTGTTCTCGGCCGCAGGCTGCTCCTTTTGCTCCTTCTGCTCCTGCTGGTAGTTCCGCAGCTGCGAGTACTCGTGCTCCCACTCCAGATCTAGCGAGGAGCTGGCCCTTGAGCTGGCCATCCGCTGATAGCTTCCAAGCATCTCGGTCTCCTTGCTGGGCGTTGCCTGCGCGTTGAGCAGCTTGAAAACGTCCAGATTCTGCAGCTGTATATCGGATATCGCACTGCATAAAAGGGGGCTATATTGGAGGTGGGTTACGACACGGATACAGTATGTGGCATTCACACACCTGTCATTCTGTAGCTTCGCATAGCTCGGCTGTTGCTCCCAGTATTTGTCCAGGAACTGGGGGCACTGCTGCTTCCTCTTGAACTTCAGAATGCGATAGACAAGGCCGCGTCGCTGCTGGCTTCCCCCTCCACTCGATATGAGCTCTGTTTCAGGCTCCTGCTCGGCCTCCTGGTCGGTGGCGACCCTAGCCCTGGGCCTGCGGCGACGCCTGAAAGTGGCAAAATGCAAATTGTATTTTCAGTGCACACGTTGTTGCACCTTTTGTGGTCTTCAATGTGGTTTGGTTTCTGTTTCTGTTTGGTGTATATTGGTTATAGGCTCGAATTGGTTGATGATGTCGCATGGTGTAAAAGAGTGCTGGACAGTGGTGTAAAATGATCGATAGTATTGAATAGCTTACAAGCACAGCTGTTTTCCATTCCCATTTTGTTGGTTTCCTCATTTCTTTTCAAAAAACTTGAATAACCCATAGAATAATGACATTTTTGGTAGTATATTTTTCAAGTACTCCCAAATGGAAGCTATGACCGAACTATCACAGAAATTTGTTCATTTATTCTGTATCTTTGTATTGCATATCCGCCTGAAAACCACGTCCACAAATCGATCACTTTTGCTGCTTCACTAGAAGCGTAAAGGGTATAGTTCGCGTCCGCTTGATTTGATTAACTTGTGGCTTTTGTTTCCCTTGTTTATGTGTGACCAACAACAACCCCCACTTCACGGTGCAATACACTCTATATATCCGTGGAAGCCCGTCGTCGTCTGTGGCATTATTTGTGGCAACATGCAGGCCCTCGAGCATTGCATACTTTCAGGCTGTTGACCCTTCTCCATTGAACGGAGCTCTGCTCCCTATAAAGTGGACCCCACTCGCAAATTATGTTTGCTTATGCAATTTGGACGACTATGGGGCGGTTCGGACATCAAGCGTGTTCCGTTTAATGGAGCAATCTACCGCTAATTAGTAAACCCTCCCCATCCCTCTTTGGGGTAGTGTCTAAGCTCGTATTGATTGGACCCGCGCTTATTGGATTTGGCGAATGCTTTTTGTACGCGCCACAAAGTCAACGGAAATTAAATTTTAATTAACTGCTTTACCCCGCTCTGTCTCTGTCGTTCTCCCAGGGGATGCTCTTACCAAAGCCAGCTGTTGGCAGCTGCCGCAGCCGTCGCACAGGAGGACGACGAGGCCGTGGAGGAGGAAGACGATGCTGTGGATGTGCTGGAGCTGGTGGTGGCAGCGGCGGCTGTGACGCAGCTGCCAAGACATGAACCCATGCTCCAGGGCTCCAGGGCAGGTGCGTAAAAGTAGGCCACACCGCAGCACAGAGCAGTACAGAGCAGCACCTCTCTGGTTCCCTTTCCGCCGTACTTTGTTGGCTTTCACTCTTTTGTTGGTTCCGCTGTTAATTGGTGGTGCCTCATGATGCGGCTGCTTCCTTCCGCTTGCCTTGCTTCAGGTCAAGGCCTATAGTTCTTAGCCGTTGTTTTTTTTCGGCTATTGTGTTGACTCTTGAAAAGCGTTTTTCAATGCAACTCCGCCACTACACACAAACACAAAGAAAGCCATACACACACACAACACTTGTACCGCAAGGCGTAACTGTTTTGCATGCGCCCGTTTGTCGACGTCACTGGGTGACGCACCCCGCGTCCATGGCGATACCAAGCGACATTTAAGGGGGCGCACACGGAGCCAAGCGACAAAAAGTTACTGTTTTCCCTCGGCAGCTGGCAGCTGACGGCGGGTATGTGGGGGCGACGACTTTTGACAATCAGCTGATTCCCATGCTCTCTCCTTACGGGCAACAACCCATTCTCTCTCTGGTTTTGCTTTTTGAGCTGTCAAGTTGTTCGAAGTCAAAAAGGAAGCGCCACGAAGTGCTTTCCACTCTGTTCAAAGTTCTATTGAACTTGGAAAGTTATTGGATTAAAAGCTTTCGGATAAAAGCTTCACTTTTGCGTGAGGGGTAATAACGGTATTTTGAATGAGTGCATAGTTAACAGGGGGCTTTAAGAGCGTCTGGACTCTACAGTTACTATGTTAGCATGAGGTTTGGAGGGGTTGGCGCTTTTGTAAGCGATGTTAAATTAACATTAGGCTAAGAGAATTTACTTAGTTGGGCTTTGGGTTAACACTGAGCTGTTAATACCATTGAAAGCTAAGAGAATTATTCGATTAACAGCCATAAGTTACCTTCATACCTCTTCAATGCTCTGAATAATAGCATCGAGACGAAGAATGTTATGTTGTCCCTGCCGAGTTGTCTTTCAGAACCAACACAATAGAATATTTGGATTTTATAGATCACGTAGAACATGAGTACAATTTTTGTTGGGACAGGGTTTGGAAGTTTGTCCCATTAGACTCATTATTTGCCAAAAAGAAAACCTCAAAGCTAAAGAATATAGACGTGAGTACTGGATAAAAATAACATTCTAAAGTACTCTTTTGATAGCATAGAGAAAGCATCGGGAAAAGAGTTGTTGAAATGATAAGAACCTCATGATGATGATAGATATGTTTTTACCGATTATATGATTGCATTACAAAGAACTGTAAACTATACGAAATTATGGCTTCAATTAAGATGTTGAAAGTGTTGTTCCTACATTAAACATAATGTAGAACTTGTTCCTTAAGAGGGTTCTTCCATTATATTTACAGAAGCTCTCATTGAAATTGATGAACATTTGTAGTCTCTATTTAATTTTGTAAGTAAAGACTATACATTAACCAAAGATGTACACATATCTTTATTAAGAACTCAAATTTAAGACCTCTCATCCAATCACTCAGGGCTTACAACTTCTTTCCCCTTTTTGAACGAGTTTTCTGCATATCAATTGTGTTTCTTAAGTGAAGGCAAAACACTCACCAAAGGAAAAACTCTTCCAAGAACTGCCTTATTTCAGACTTCGTGTTAATCCCAACATTTAAATCATTTTCCCTTTCCTTCAAAAAAGCACTTTAGTCTTACAGATGCTTCCCCCCTTTGTGTTGGGGCTGATCTTTAGCTTTTCTCACACATTCATCTCACATGATAAACATAAAACGCGTCGAAGAATATTTCACGAATTTGTTCCAAACATTAAAAGTAGTGCTGTAAGCATTTGCTGCGGACAGAGTAACACAGCTGTTAGGAGCACCATGTGGAAGTGCCAGTGCCTGTTAAATGCGGCTGTAAACAGATGTAAATGTAACATAAATCACGGCCCAACCGCAACATTTGTTTATCTTTTTAACAGGCGGCTGGAGCCGAAGCGGATGCCAGACGACCAGGCACGACAGCCACCCTTCGGATGCTGTTTGTCTCGTCTCGGCTACTTGATGACCGCGCTCGTTCATGTTCAATCGTGTCGCATCGTGTCTCAGTGCCAAATATACCGTTGCGCGCGGAAGTCGTGTTCCGTTCATGTCCCACATTCCCCTTCGAATCGCTGTGCGGTACCGTCAGTAGTTCTTTCGGCGTATTTACACGACTTTTGTTGTTGGAGTAGTAGCTTGAAATAATATTATCCCTGATCCATTAATAATTACAAAATTGTGGTCTTAATCAACGATTGTGCGAGTGTTTATTTCGATTGGCCATGCCACCAATATTGTTGTTGCAACGTTGCTCGAGTTGTTGATTTTTGTGTGTTTGGGGTAAGCGTCGCGTCTTACCGGCTCGCGGCTGTGGCGTCTCTGGGTCTATCGTCCTACTAATTAAATTGTGTTGCAAATAAAAAAATGTAGACAGCAGCCACAGTAGCAGGAAACATGGAAAGGCGTTGTTCTTCTGTCGTCTCGCTGGTCTATTTATAAATTGATTTGCTGATTCCTTCTGACAATTCGCCCCCAGATGGTATATTCCACTGCTGCAGCCAGAGCCCTGCACACAACCGACCGACCCAGAAATAGTACTGCTGCTGCTGCTGCTGCTCCGGTGAGTTATTAGCGCAAATAATGGGGAGATTTGCACAAGGGAAAGGGATAGAGATTGGGTGTGGATTAAGCGGAAAGCGAGCTTGAATTCACAGAATACATATTGGACTCATTTGCGAGCACCCTAGTTTATATACTATTTATGATCCAGGGTTCAATAACCAGAGTCGATCACAAAATGTATGGTACATGCATTACAATGTCACCTATGAATCCATGTAAAAGGGGTTTTCTATTCGGTTTGAAAGAGTTATCCCCAAGGTTTCCACAAATTGCAAAATATTGTGGAGTCATAAATATAAAGGAGCACATACAGATCGGCTGAGGATTATTTTGGACATACGAAAATATCTCTTTCTTTAATTCCTTTTTTATGAGTATCTTACATATTTATTGAAATTTTTAAATTCAAATTAGATTATCAGATGATCTATAAAGGTTTTCTAGTCGTTTTCTCTTTAAAAATCTGAATATTTCCAAGTTCTTAGTTCTCTAATAGTTGTCATCGAAAATGTGCCTCTCTAAAAAACGATCTTTGCATGTGTGATTGCATAACAGTCAATAGATCAATCAAAGATAAAACATTGCACATATAGCATCGAGAATGCAATGATCGGATGCAGTCCACAGTATTGTCCCCCGATTAGCAAACGATCACCACTGACTCCCGTTAATCGTAAGACCAATCGAAGAGCTGTTGTTGTGCTTCTCTGTGCTCTGATGGCATCGATAATAAACTCCCTTACAAGTATTTGTAACAACTAAAACAGCATCTCGTGCCTTCTCCCTTCTGTCACTAATGGTAACGTTACGACCAGCTGCTCTCAATCTCATTCACACTTCCAACCCAGCCCGCAACCCACTTCTATGGCCTTGCCACCGCCTTGAGTTATTAAACACTTTTGCTGTCTTGCATTGTTGGTTTATGCGGGTACAAGCCCCCACCACACCCACTCCCAGATGAAGCTGCAAATGTTGCCTTTTGTGCTTTGGCTTCATTTCTTCAGTTGTTTATGCGCGGCGCTGCCAGCAGGAGGAGGAGGAGTTGGATGGGGAGTCCAGGAGCAGTAACTGCAGCTCCATTGAGCCAACCGTTGAACAGCTCTCTGTCCATCTATTTCACCACCCCTCCACGGTCTTCACTCCGCCCTACTCTCCGGTTGAATCCAGCGTATCCAGCGTATTAACCTCTTAGGGTAAAGTTTTCCACCGTCTGCAGAACTATGCGCATGAAAAATCACGCTGCTCAGCATTGAAGGAAACTTTCTTTATGTACACACCGTACTATACCGTTATATATATATGTATATTTATGGAGCTGCGATATGTATGTATATAGTATATTTAACAAAAGCATTTACGCTTTACACTGGAATGCCCAACGTGTTAAATGCAGTAAGAAATTGCCTTGTTACCAATGAGCCGGCGTTGCTCTCTTTAATGGCCATTTACCCAGGTGGAAATGCGTGGCAGGGCGTGGAGAATGCTGTCCTTAAGTCCTGGTTTTTAAAGAGCTTAAAAGTGAGCAGGTATGGACAGATAAAGTGTTTCGGAAATACTGGTTTATGTTGCCATTAAAGGGGGTAAGAAAATCAATCTGGAAAATCTGCTGAATGGCATATACGCGAAATGATTGCAGTATGGATTATGGCTCTTCCAGGAGAATAAATATTCCGGAGAAATCTTAATAACTCTGTAGAAGAAAAACCGAAATGACATTAAGTTCTTGATTTCAAACGGATGTTCATTCTCTTATATTCTCAGTGGTGTTCTGCGTTGAATGTTTCGTAAATTATAATCTTTTAGACAGACTGCGATTATGAATAAAATGACAAAACATTTTCTGTCTGTTCCGCCTTAAATTACTCATACTTTGTCAGCGGAAATTCCACTTGCAGCTGTGTGCCTTCCTGCACTTCCTGCCCGTCTTTTTTCCTCTGTTCATTGGAGACCTTTGGCGCCTTGACGTCCAGCAAACAACAAGCAGCTGCAGAGGCAGCTGCAGCTGCCGCAGCTGAATGTCCTTTTATTAAGACCAAAGCGACTGGACATTGACATGGATATGGCCGTTGGGGAGACGTCGCAACTGTTGATTTACATCAACACTCTTTTGCATAATTCCCGTTTCGCCTATTGCCGTTTTCCCAGGGCGTTGAGTGGCGACTCCAGCGGCAGCACTAACAAACGTTGGGTATTTAGCATATCTTATGCTCATTAAGTGCATCATTCCCGGCGTCCCTAAATGGCTAACAGAAGAAGATTCCCATGAAAATTAAGGAGGAAATTCCCAGCTTCGCTCTGATTTTTTTCTCGTTTTTTTACCCATTCTTACAGCTGTTTCATTGATGGTGATCAATTCTGTTGGCTGTGATTTAAGTGCGCGTAAATCTCTGCGGTGAAAAGTGTTCCATTCCTACATCTTTCATTTACCCTCATTTCCTCCCCCCCCCCCCCCCCCCCCCCCCCCTTTTCCACAGAGCACTCGTACTCGTCCTCGTCCTTTTCCATCCTTCTCCTCGGTTTGTTGCCATTATTTGCATTTCATTTTTGCGTGTGGCGAGAGAAAATGTAAATTGATTTATTATGCACAAGCGAATGAATGCTTCGTGGGAGACTCCAGGACTCTGGGAGTAGGAGTCATCGTCGAAGCAGGAGTCAGAGCAGGAGGAGTACAGCAGACAGAGAAGGAGTCGTAGGAGGAGCCCCCGAGCAGGATACAGCGCATTCGTGCGTGCATTTCTGTTTTTTTTTTTACTCATCAGGAAAAGCAGGAGATTGCAGGAGACTGCAAAAAGGTACCCACCACTAGCACACGGCACTGGCACCGGCAAACGGCACTGGCACCATCCTCACTGCCTGCGGGGCGTAAACATCGCTATTAATATTGATTTAAATGAACGAAAACCGTCAGGATGAGACCGTTGCCGAGTCAAGATATTGCCCATTACCCTCCCTTGCACACAAAAAAATAATACTACCGGAGTCGAAAAAAAAAATAAAAAGTGAAATGTGAAATGCGAAATAAAACAAACATTACTCACTGCCATTGCGAATCAAAGCTCCGGCGGCAGTGTTGACATTTCGCTATTAGCCAGATTGCAAAAATCAAACGCTTTAAGAGCGGAGCCAAAAACTAGTCAGAACTGTTTGAGGTTTCGTTGTTGAAGTGTTGAAAATGTGAATACCCTTTTTTGGGATTATGGAGAGAACAAAGGGTAGATGTTGGATATATGTGTGTATCTACTTACCAATTGATGGAATAGTGAATAATGCACTTAGACAACTGAAATACAAAAGAACACAATGGGTCTTAAATGAGGTTGAAATGATTCTAAATTTTGGGAAAAATCTTTGAATATTCATATAAATAATATATTGGCATTTCCGTGAAGCAAAAAAATTAAGAGTAAATAAAAAGACATTTACATATACTTTTGTCCCGATATTATTTTCTAAATGGATGTGTATATACTGAATACAAAACTATATTAATTTTCTTTTAAAGTAGCAAAAAATCCAAATATAATACAAAATAAATTGTCTTATGGTAATAACATAAATACATATAAAATAATATAAACCATAGAAGTAACCCTCCCCCCTTTCCATATCTGTAAAGCAAAATGTATTCGTACTTTCCGAAATTTTAACAAGATATTATTCACATCTATGAAGACCTCAACCATTATTGGATGTAGAATCAAAGTCCTGAAAAATGTATATCTTACGTTTAAATTAATTCTGGAAATTCAAAAAGCAGAAGATGTTGAGGGCTCAAATTGAATAATGGAATATTTGTATATCAGGATGAATAATGCATGGTATATACATATATATTGATGTAGTCTCAAAATTATTCGATGAAGCACAATTAACCTCGCAAATGCAAATATCAGAGTACGAGTACACTTCCGATTTTCCAAATAGGAATTCCGCAAAAGACTTCTATCCACTTTAGCGGCAGGGCAGCAAACACCACCGCGACATCAGCATTCCTTATTTTCGCGGAAAGCAGAAAACTTTTCCAGTCAACCGCAAAGTATGCACCGCAACGCCATGGTGGAGAGAGGAGAGGGAGCTATACAGACAAACAGAGAGCGAGGCAGGGCCAGTGAGGGGGAGGAAGGAAACAAAACAAAATTGGAATACTCCTCCCCGCCGTAATAACTTTTGGCAATAATACAAAAAGCATTTTTTTGCTTTACGTTTTTTTTTCTAGTTTTTGCATGCGAAAAAACACATTGAAGCTGGGGAGTAGGGGAGTAGGGGGGAGTTGTTCCTGGGAGTACGTCTAGATGTGTGTGCGGCGGGGGAGGGACGAGGCCTTGTTCCAAATCGTTGGGGCGTGAAAAAAAAGAAGAATTATTGTGAAATATGCACAGACATCGAGAGAGTTGTGGGAGCTACGGCCACTACTTCAGCTAATAGAGATGCCAAACATTCGGGGATGGACATCCCTTTGGAATGATCGTCTGCCAGGCCAGAAAATCTCACGGAGACCGGACTGGAACCTCTTTAAATGTTCGCAAAACGAGGAAATCAATTAAGTTCACAAATGGATTTCAATAACTTTGACTGAACGAACGGCAAATCCACAACAGCTGGCCCCGAAGGAACCATTCTAATTGAAATGCATTCATATTGCAATACAATGAAGGAGATTGAAGGAGATGGAGAACCGGAGCAGTAGCAGTAGCAGTGGCAGTGGCAGTAGCAGTGGCAGTAGCAGGAGATGGTGTCGGTCCAAGAGCCGGAGATAGACTCCGAACGGATACGGAGATGGGGCACCCGGGAGTGTAAAACAACAGCTGACAGAGCAAATTGCTTTGCGCTTATGACACGACAAGGAAGACTAGAAGGCAAACAGAAAGGAAAAAGAATCTACATACATGCAGCCACAGATAACCACAGAAGGAGGATGTTCCTGACGATGCTGATGATGATGCCAATGGCACTGCAACCTGACAGCGCACTGAGATGATGGGTCCACTGTACACTGAGCGAAAGACTATTGAATATTGAAACGAAAGGCTGTGACAGAAAGCCTGATAATTTTCAGAGATATTTTTGTAATGTAACCAAACAAATAGATTGTGGATCCACAGATGTGTTATACGCACGGCTTCAAGTGTTACAAATATGTATAGTGTATGTGTGGTAAGGTTAGAGGTGAATGCTTTGTCGTCTTCCTTTGGATTAATCTGATTTTTGTGTAGCTCTGTGATCTTTGGTCTGTTTGGTCTTTCTTCGAATTACTTAAGACTTGACATCTTTACGATACGCATCCAGGCTGAGGAAAGACCAGTGGTGGCAGTTTAACGAACTCCAAAGTGAAGTCGTTAAACAGTTTGCGGGCCAGATAAAGAAACGGTCCATCCATATTGAGCCCCGTCTTGACTGATATTTTGCACAAACGGTGTGCCGGATTTAATGGAAAATCGGATCCAGGCTTGATATCCGACTTGTTTCCACAGATGGATATTGGAATGCCTGGACAGATCTTGTTCAGCGTCATAAACTTGTGGAAATTCTGGAAGAGATCCACCGAGCTTGCATCAAACATTATGATAGCGCAGTGGCTGTTGCTGTAGAAATCATCTGGATAGCGGCCCAGCTCCTCATCCTCCTTGCCCCAGTCCCACACATCGAATCGAATGGGTCCGCGATTGCTGCTGAAGATCAGCGTGTCTATGTTGACGGAGTTCTTGTCCGTGGGGACATACTCGCTCTTAAATTCTCCAGTTAGATGGCGTCTCAAAAACGTGGTCTTGCCACAGCGTTTCTCGCCAATAATAATGCACTTGTAAGTCGGCACATCCATGGTTACTGCGAATATTATTGTTTTAAAGAATAGTTTACTTAAATGCGACTCTTAATTTCACTTCATACCAATAAAGTTTTTGCAAACAATTTTCACTAATCGTCGTACTTCAATGACTGTGTGAGTCAGCAATAAAAACCGCAGGCAAAAGCCGCTGTGTGAGCGAGACGAATATAGCCTCGATTTTCCTATTGGTGAATCTAGAGATGGTTTCATCGAACTAAAGATGTGGAATGAAATCGTTGAACTGTGAATGTAATATCGATGTATCGATGACACCCCCAATTGAGTGTTTCATTCCATGTACATTTTATATATCAAAATGGTTTTTATTGGTTCTTGACGTTATTTCTTGCAGTGTTATGTGTGGCTATCGAGTCTCCATCTCCTCATAAGCGGTTTACTCCAGGTTCTGCTTGGGGTAGCTAGTGGGGTCTGGGTCTGGGTGTGGGTGTGGGCTACGGGTTCTCTGCCTGAGCCACGTTTAATGGAGTATCTGATTAGGTTTTAATTAAGACGATGGGGACTTGAGGCATGAGATATCAATTGTGGTACGAATATCAATGGCGGCACTTGAATGGATGCCAGTTAATTGTTAAATTAAAGCTTAAATAAATTAATTGCTTTTGCAATTGTGGAACACGTATTGGAACAGACTAATTTGAACATTCCATTGTACAGTGCGTTTATTGTGTGTGAAATAGGGAAAGGCATTTCGCTATTAATCAGTGTTTCGGTTTCATCCCAAAGGAATGACTGAGATGCCCAGGAAACAGTTTTTATCTCTTTTTTTTTTGTTGCTCCCCAAATGAGCGACTGTTGTATCTATCTCCTGCTCCGCGAATGGGGGCGACGCTTCTCCTTTTTGTCTGCTGCGTTTTTATGACTTGACCGCCATATCTCCCTTTTCTTTCTTTATTTTTTGGTTCTGCTCTGTTGTGTTGTTTTATGCTTTCTCATAGAATTTATTTTTAATCCGCTTACGTCAGGCGAAATTCAATCAAGAATTTGCACAGAATTTCCCCACCCCTTGCCCCATCCCTATCCATACTGGGAACTGTCTGCTGTCGTCTGGGGCGTCGTCTGGGTTGGGGCTCGGGTATCAAATAAATCAGCAGAGTCTGCCTTTAAATACATATAAATCTATAAGCAAATTGGACCACGCGTTTCCTTTAAATTTATATTTCACTCTCTGATTAATGATGGCATTTCATTTTCATAATTTCTCCCTTACATTTCAGGAAAACAATCCATGCAAAAAGCTGCGTCGTATACCAATTAAATGGACAGCATTTTAAAAAATAATAAAAACATAAACAGCATTAAACAATCAAGTAACAAAAACTCTGCAGCGATTTCAATTAAAAAAAAAGAAGTAGTGAAAAAATAAATATGTTACAAAAAAATTGCTTTGCCGTGGCACTAATTAATTAAAACCGATTTCCTCCATAATTGATAAGGCAAACAAAACGCTGAAACAAAGTAATCCATACCGTTTAACCAACATGTTTAATCACTTTGCAACAGTTCCAATGAATCTCTTAATGCTCCTCGGTTGTCTATTGGCCACGACGACGGCTCTGAGCACCGATACGGGCAGCGAGGGAAACGGCGTCAGCGTCGGTGGTTCTACCCTCAATAATGGTGAGTTTTTATAGAACAACATTTATTTAATCTTTGGTAAAAAATAACTGGAGGGAGCGTTTCATTTCTGATTGTTTCAAAAACACGTAAAAAAATATATCGGCACTGCCAGCTGATTTCTGCGCCTCACCAACACTGACATCTCTAGTATTTGTTGTTGTACAACGCTATAAAATAAGCGTAGAAAAATTAATGTAAAGTAACAATGGATGTGCATTATTTGCGAGACACGCTGTGGCCATTTAATTGGAGAGTTTAAGAGCGAGTATGTCCCTGCCGACAAGTACTTCATCTTCAGCACCACCAGCGGACCCATTCGATTTGATGTGTGGGACTGGGGCAAAGAGGACAAGGAGATGTTCCACCACGCAGCCACTGCGCGATGATTCATCTGTGGAAACAAATCAGATATCAAGGCAGTTAAAGATTTCGAAGTAAAACCCGGATTCTCAGGCACTGTTGTCCCAACCTGGAGGACCGCATTTGTGGCCAATATTGGTGGACTTGAAACTGTTTGAGGACTTCAATTTGGAGCTCGTCAGGCTGCCATTGGTGGTTGCCTCTGCCAGGATGCGTATCGTAAAAATGTTTAGTTTTAAGTATCACAAAGAAACAACAAACAGTTCACAAAGCTACACAAAAAGCAGAGAAGTACAAAGGAAAAGGCGCCTGGCCTCCCCCTATCCCACCCACAAGGCATTTAATATTTGTAATACTAAAAACTCTACATACGAGACATACTCTCGTATTCCATCTGTGGATCCACAATCTATGCCAAAAATCATACATTTGTTTGGTTGCTCTACAAAAGTATATTAAAAATATCTCTGAAAGATAGGTGGCCTTTTCCAGAGATAGTTCGTTCATAAATGTATCGATTTTATATGTTGATAGTCGCAAATTGTTCTGCAAAACCATTACGTTTCTGATTTCGAGCATTGCTGGACAAATGTGTCCGGCGGCATATTATATTTAATTATTCATTTAATTGCATTACAATCATGGCCAGCACGTGCACGGAATGCTGGCCAGAAAGAATGTATGTAATGCATGAAAAAAAAAAAATGTAAATCACTTGTTATTTAACATGTTGCATGACATTCCGGCGGTGTGGTAGAATGGGGCAAGCGGGCCACAGCTCGTGGATACTGGGACTAACTAAATTAATGGCTGCACGCTGCTCTGTGTGGGGCCCAGCCCATATCGGCGGAGAGGAGCGCTGACAGCGCCAGGGCAATTAAAATGTGACAGGGGAATGGATTTGGATACGCTTGATATGTGGCTGACGGACTCCGAATACGAAACGTACTCGCACGTTTATTATAAATGCATAGCTAGAGGATGAGAGTTTTTAAGCGGTAGATTGCCAGGGATTAACAATAAAGAACTATGAGTCTGTCCGTATGGTTCGTTTGGCTTGTCCGAGTAAATCAGCTAAATGCACTTCAAATACCCCACAAATCGCTGGCCTTTTTCCAGGCCAATTAACATCGCTGTAATCCATTTAGTCTCGGACTAAATTGCAAAAGTTGATTATGCTTTAATGATCATCATTTAAAATTCGATTGAATGAATTATGTCTGATTGATTGTGCAGTGGGAGTGGCTTCAAGTGCCCAATTGGCGAGGCGTAAAAATAATCTGTTTTGGCATAGAGTGAAACAGAGTAGAACTCAGGGAAAACACAACATATTTTCTGGTTTTCCAGTGAATTAATTTGAGGTGGAAAATACATGTAATTATCTCTATGTAAATACAGCTTAAGTGTACTTGATGTACACTTTGTATTGTACTGTATTTGATGGCTTAAGCGGAAACAAATGATTCCTAATTGTGTAATAAAATACAGGGAATCACTTGAAAGTTATGGCCCAAAGTATTTGCGATTTTAATTTAGTTTTCCTTACTTTTTCTTAGTGCACGTTTTACAGGTGGTAATAATTGAATGCATTAAATTTGCTTAGGTTCTTGCCTGCCGTCCTGGCCCACAAAGTTCTTTCTGGTGACTTAAAAGTCATCAAAGTCTCATGACAAATTCATTAAGTTGGTTATACTTACGACAAAAAACACAAAATCATGTTGCCACTGACCGCAAACCCGCACACAAGCAAACATAGACGCACACACAGAAACGCACACATACATTGACACGCTCGCACACACACACACACACAAAAGGCATTTAAAGTTCTTTTTGCAGCCTACTCAGCGGGACAAATATTTGTTTTTTGAGACAAGAGAATAAGAGAGAGAGAGAGCGCGTGGCGAGGGAGAGGGAGAGAGTTGTAGGAGAAGGAGAGCCAGCGGCAAGCCGAATGCCTGGCCAAGGTATACCAAACAGATGGTAAGGCTGCGCTGCTCGCTATCTGTGATCTCTTTCTCTCTCTTTCTCAGGGAGCGTCGATCGAAAAGATTTTTCAGCGTTAGCCTTACACTGACAGAAAAATGGCATAATGAAAAGAAACACACTCATATTAAAACGAAATATTCGCTTGTTAAGTAACAACCTAGTGAAATTGAATAGAATTTGCTTTGATTAATATATTAAATAAATATTAATTTACATATTAAAATGAGTTTTTAATACGACACTTACCTAATGTAAAATAAATATAATACATATATTAAAATTTGAAGGAAATATGTACCCATTAATGTCAAAATGTATGTGGAAAAAACCCTTATGTTTTAATAATTTCACTCTAGGTGCACAGATATCTAAATCGATTTCCAGGGCAAACCACAACTCAAGAACTTTTGCAGCTGCCTCACCTGCCGTTTAATCTTCCTTGTGCTATGCGAAGCATTAACTTAACCCTTGGCATGTCACTTGTCTCCCCCAAAGGAGCCCCCCGTCGCCGAGTGCTCCCCTCATTAGCATCATTATCCCTCCCACCATCCCACCATCTCACCATGCCCCATCCAGCCGCCTGTGCTTTTGCTTTTTGCCGCCCAAGCAAATGAGAATTTCATTAACGTTATTAATATTTTCATTGTTGAGTATTTTGCGTATCTCTTCTCCGCCTGCAACCCCCCTCCCAACAAATGCCAGGGCTCTCTGTCTCTGGAATAATAACTTTATTATGACGCCCTTCTGCTGCCGCTGCCGCTGCTGCTGCTCCTGTTATTGTTGCTGCTTTTGTTGTTGTTGGGAGGTTTTTACATTTTTCATGGCTTAATAATTGCTCATTTCACTTGCAGCTGCCTTTTGTTTGGCTTTTATTATTATATTTGTTCTTCTTGTTGTTAACAATTATGAGGCCACTTAAATAAATTTTATTGCTGTCAGGCGGTATTTGCACCAAGGAGCGCACTGCCTCGTCTTCCTTGGCTCCACCCTAGCTCCATCAGAGGGCTCTTTTCGGGGCCACAAAACAAATTGACAATTATTCTTGGACCCTACCCCCCCTCCCCCGTCTTCGACTTCGGTCGCAGTTAACCAGGAAAATGACAAACGAGCGAACCGAGGAACCCAGAACTTTTCCCTGCCCATTTATTAGCTTGAGAAAGTTTTTGAGTCTTGGTGCGATTTTGATTTAGCTTCGGGCGTGGAGAAGATTAGCTCGAGGAATCATTGTACGGAGGGAGCGATAAATATTGTGGGGAGCATCCTAATTATGTTGTTTTTTATGTCCAAGTGAAGGCAGGAGTTAAACGTCCTTATGAAGGTGCTGTATACTGGATACACTCAGAGAAAAAACAGTGAGAATCGATTGGTTACAATTGGATTTACAAATGTGGCTCAATATATTGATCTAGTATCTCTCTATTATACAAAGAATTATTGGGTCGTCGTCGCTCGATATTTTACTCGTAAAGGCGCTGCCGATCTAAGCGAGTGAGCCGGGGGTTGAAGCTAGTGTGCAGGGAGCTTGCCTCCTATATATTAAATATATTTCCAACAAATTAAATCTGCTTTTAAAGTGTTTTTAGTTTAGATTTACAAAAATACGTTTTCACAAAGTTTGAAATTAAAAAGCAAATATTTAATTTAAATATTTTTTTGTGTTGCATGTTCTATTTTAATTTTCCATTTTTCTTGGGTGGGTGGCTATAGATCAGGCCTCTCTGAAAATAAGGTATGAACTATCCCCATGTAAAAAATTACTTGTAATAAAAGAAGGACAAATTTCAGAATGATTTATGCATCAATTTAGATCAAATCATAAACGGAAGCATCCATCCATCAGCTATTCCCATGATACGTTTCCATCCCCTTCAGCACTTTGCCACCCCATTAAATTGTCTACTAATTGGATGCATCCTCGTGCAGGACATGCCGCCAGGGCACACGCTCTAACGAGCTTCATTTGTGGCGTGTAGCGTATGTCTTCTGTGGGTTTGAGGGAAGGGACGACAAAAAAATAAGACTCCTGTCAACTGAATTTCATATGCAAATCCTTTCCTACGACTATCGCTACCTGATAATCTCCTTGATTTATGCGACGACTGCACACAGAGGAGAGAGGGAGGGAGAGAGAGCAGCGTATGGGGGTCCATGAAGTAAATCCCAATCCCAAAATCCGAACAGTAAAAGAAATGGGTTTCCCATATCCTTACGATTACGGATAGCCGGCCACCACCACTCGGGGCCACATCATTAATCTCGGGGCTCCCCATGACGTCCGTCGTCCGACGTCCGACGTCCGAAGCCCGACGCCCATGCGGGATGTGGCTCTGACGGGCCGCCGCCGCCCATCTGGACTTTGGCCTCGGCCATGGCCTGACCTTCGCCATAATAACTCAATGCTGTTTCTGTTGCTGCCCGTTGGGCCACAGAAGACACGGACACGTGCTAATTGCTAATCAAGGCAGATAAGCACGGGGCATGCCCCACAGACGACCACGCCCCACATGCCCATCCCGCCCGCATTCATCCATTTACCCATTTACCCATTAAGCGATGAAGCGAAGCGCAAAATCATTTTATTTTTATTGCTTCGAATCCTCTTTTATGGTAAATCAGGAACGGGAATGTCCTTTAAAAGGCCATGAGATCTTATCGAAGAAAGGAGAGGAATGATGCGGTATAGCAGGGTACAGCCACAGGTCTGATCCTTTCTGATCAGGGGAACATTAGATTGAATTCAATTAAACAACGATTTTGAAGGATTTTTCTCATGGGAAGTTACAGCAGATTACATATTTATTTCCTTGTGTATTTTGTGTAATTTATAATCATTTTGTAGTGCAATGAAACGAAAGTGTGAAAGTGTCACAAGTACTAGGTGTATGTGTGTGTAGGGAGTAGAGTGGAATGCATTGCCCGCCCCTTCCTTTGTGCCTCTTTACTGTTTATGTGAATCTGTGTACTGTGTACTGTTTGCTGTTTCTTTGAATAGCTTATAACTAGACATCTGTAGACGGTATGAACTCCAAAGTGAAGTCGTTAAGCAATTTGCGTGCCAGATAAAGAAACGGTTGATCAATATTGAGCCCCGTCTTGACCGATATTTCGCTAAAAATTTTTTTTTCCAAGTTGGGACTGCTCAAAAAGTTTTCTGGATCATATACAGAGTAGTTATCAGTCTTGATATCCGCCTTGTTTCCACAGAGGGATATTGGAAGGTTCAACATCAAAAACTGTTTGAAGAAATCACCGAAGATAAACACCGAGGACACATCAAACATTACGATCGCGCACTGGCCGTCTTTGTAGAAATCTTCTGGATGGAGTAGCAGCTCCTCATTCTCTTGGCCCCAGTCAAACACATCAAATTGTATGGGTCCGCGATTGCTGTTGAAGGTCAGTGTCACAATGCTGGTGGATCCACGCGCCGTGTGGACATACTCCTCCACAAACTCTCCAGTTAGATGTCTTTTCAAAAACGTGGTCTTGCCACAGCATTTCTCGCCCATAATAATACACTTGTAAGTTGGCACATCCATGGTTCCTGGGGGGAGTATTTTAAGTTAAATTTCAGTTGTACAAATTATTGAGAAAAAGTTCTGGATGGAATGGAAAGCAAGCTTTACAAATTAATACTTATTTAGGGACTTCCACACACACAATTTAATCTACTTTAGCGCATCTATTTTTAAAATATATCATAGCCAGTAGTGAAGAGTCTTTAAAGGGTATTTATCAAAGCAGATTGCCGAAGAATTTTCTATGCCTCCACTCCTCTGATTGCATTAGGGATTGTGGTCGGTCCTCTACATTCGGCTGACAAATGATCTACTGCTTTTATGGAAATATGTAAGTCATTGTCTGTTGGTCGGTGCTTTATCTGCCATCTGGCCTTATAATGGGATTTCGCCCCTAGCCTACTCTAACCACTTCCTACCCCTAGCCCTCAAGGGCACCTCTATCTATAGCTAAGTATTTCCCCTCCCTTAATATACGAGTAGTTTCAACAATCACTTGACTCTGAGTCATCTCTTGAGATGCCTTTGACTTTGACTTGGGTTTTCCTCCCTTCTTTTTTCACACGTCAACAAATGTCACAAACACACACACTCGAAGACCACTCAGGAGGCGGGGGCAGGGCCTTTCCTTTGTTTAAATGCCACATTATATAATGATACCTAACACTCAGCCAACCTCTTAGGGCGACGAGGGAGGGACGTTGTTCAATGGCTTTTTATGGGTGTTTTCCACAATTTTTGCTGGGGGAAAACACTTCTCGAGTGTGTGTGTGCTCGTTTGTTGTTGTGGTTGTGTGTGCGTCGCCACTTAAATACCAAATTAAGTGTAATTTTTATTGTCCTGAAGAAAACACACACGCACTTGCCCTACAGTTTGACAAATTTGATTTTTCCTGACTTACATTCTCGACGTTTCCTTGGCGTCTCATCACCACTGTCGTTTAGTTTTTGTTGCTGTTTTGTAATTGTTTATGCAATGTCATGCACACACACACACACACTGTAAATATCTGAATAAGCAAGAGAGCGAAAGAGCGAAAGAGAAGAACATAAAGTGAGAGACAGAACTGAAAGAAAGCGACAGGGTGGCAGTGGCAGGGACGTTGCCGTCGTCTGGCGGAGAGTTAAATCATTTGGCTGCCGCTTAATGAAGTTAAGTGCAGAGGATATGAAGGATATGAAGGATCTGCCACATGATGGCTAGCATCTGGAAGCATCAGCAACGAAGCTGCGTGGCGGAGCGAGGCGCCAGAAGAGCGCCTGACGAGATTGAATCAGAACGTTTTATGACCCACTGGCTGTTTTCCTTCCAAAATGAAGGTGACGAACGCAGAGCGAAAGGGAACATTAATATGACAGTAAAGATTTATAGATCTAGGGATTATACATACACACAAATATACAAATACAAATAGCACTATGCAACAGCGGCGAAATTGGGTTGAAATATGGCGGGGCTAATGAAATATTATTGACACAAATAAAACTACATACCGAATGATGTCTTTCAATTGAATGTTGTGCACGTCTATGCAATTTTTTTTCTCTTCTTTATTTTTTCCGTCCAGTCACTCCAGCTGACTTTACTCATCTCCAATGTTGCTTAACGCACTTAACATATCTAGTGCTGCGGAACGCAATTATCTCTAGTGCTGCCTACCGAACTACAAGCTTATTACAAGTTGTCCGTTAAGATTTAAATTTAAATATCTAACAGTAAGAATAGAACCAAGAAGAAGTTAAATAACTATTAAAATATATAGAAAAAGAGGTAGTAAGACATATTTCTTTTCAATTTGCGGAGAACGTATCCTTTTGAGAATGATTATTAAGAGATAATAGTTCTGTTTATCTTAAACACTAGAAAGTTTGAGTTTAATAATTGTTTAATGTAGATACCACAACCTTTTCTCAATTTGTACAAAACGGCGTTAGGAAATTGAGAATTAGAAAATTTATAAATAAATATAAGAAATAAAATAAAATAAAATAATAAAAACAGAAAAATTCGCTTTTAAATTTAATTTATTCTAATTTAATTAATTTAAACTTAATTAAAATTTTAAAAAATCAATTACATTTAAGCAAAATCAAGGAAAATATTGAATCATGGGTTCATCGGACTTGTAGACACATAATGACACAGTTTTGTTTCGAGCTAAACAAAAATTTGAGTGACCTACGACTTTCGAAGCTGGTGAAGCCATGATGCAATTATACAGGGTGGTTTCGTCGGCAAAATGCAGTCCCGTAACGTATTCTAGCAATAGGTGCGAGTGAAAGGCACATAGTATAGTGAGTGTGAGTGAGACGGCATATGTTGATGTTGATTAACCCTTAACAGGCCCGTGGGGCTTAAAGTTTTAAAATAAAATGATTTTACTGATATATTAATATTTAAATTTTATGCAGCCATTAATAATTTATTCAACATTTTTAGTTATATTAAAATTTTCTTTTACATAATACATAAATATTACTTCTAATTCTGTGATATTTTTTTTATGTGCTATTTATGTAATATGCAATATGTAATTTTGTTGTTGTCGGGACATAAGGGTTAAGAATATATCAAAAAAATCGTCCGTGAACAACCTTCATCATCAACAAGCAAGAATGCACTGACGTTAAGGGAAAACACGAACGAACTTCGGCTCCCGACGAGACAGCCTTGTATAATTGCATCATGCTTCCTTTAAGAGATACTTCCTTCAAAGTGACAAAAAAAAACGCGAAAATAGGTTTAAAATAGGTTTACTAAGGCAGTACGGCTCTCCTCCGGCAGACGCCGCTAATATTAAACGACACGACAAAAGGTGCGTGCGAGAGAGACAGAAAATCAGTCTGAGCGTGACGTCGGGCGCTGCGTAGCCAGTGCAAATTGATTTGTTCCTTTTGGCTATAAGACGGACGGACAGACGGACAGACAGACATGGCTCAATCGACTCGGCTATTGATGCTGATCAAGAATATATGTATATACTTTATGGGGTCGGAAACGATTCCTTCTGGACGTTACACACATCCACTTTTACCACAAATCTAATATACCCCAATACTCATTTTGAGTATCGGGTATAAAGAAACACTGGTTGATAGTATTCCCATCTCTTATCCAGTTCCCCCCATAAAACACGGTTATTATAACCTTTATGGTCTATACAGGACTTACGGCAATCCAGTAATTGGATAAGTCAGCCTCAGAACCAACCAGATTTAATTTACCTTTCCAAAGACCTTCAAAATCTCCGGAAAACTTGACCGATTTCACGCATTCTGGCTTCCTTCTTGGCAATGACCGATATTTATGTGTCGGTAAATAGGTAAAGATACCTGTATAAATATTATTATATTATGAAATCCTTTCCCTCCCCCCCCATATATTCGTTTAGATAACTTGGCTAATGAGTTTCTTACTTAATGACCACTTTGCAATTTTCTGAGGAGAACCTTTCCGCAACCTTTCCCCTGCAGAGCACCCCACTCCAGATACCCAGAGCATCAAGACATCATTTGGTTAATTAACAGGCCACTCGGCCACCGTGCCACCATACCGGCGTGTTGTTGCCACTGTTACTGGCTGTGGCACCGTCTCCACCACCGACCTTTCTCAACCGCCACTGCACCGCACCGATGATTGCCGTTTGCTCACTTGGTGGTGTTGTGTTTTTTGGTAGCAGAGGCATTTTTCTTGGAAAATTTTGCAAAAGCAGCCGCCCGCATGCCTGCCTGCCTGCCAAACACACGACTGGATCTCAGTCTGGGGGGGGTTATGGCCTTGTCGCGAGGCCTTTCGCCACCGCAGCCGTTGATTTTAATTAAATTAACAACACGAATTGTCAAATGCAGCAGCCAAACAGCCAAACAGCCAACAGCCAGCAACAGGGAATGTCAGTCAATGCCCCAGAAACAGCAGCAACAGCAGCAGCAACAGCAGCAGCAACAGAGCCGCAAATAGCAGCCGCAGCTGAACAGAAGGTGAACTCTGAAGCAGAAGTTTTTTGGGTGAAGGGGAAGGGGAGGGGGCAGGAAGACGACCACAAACCTTATTAAAAACGTGTCAGAAACATTTTCATAAATATTTCAGGTGCAACTTTTTTCAGCCGTGCGCCGCTTGTCAAAGTGCCAAAACCAAAGTGTCAAACTGTTTGCGGAAAAGGCCACGAAATCAATAAGCTGTTTCGGAGTTTTTCCTCTTTCCCGGAGCTGTCGATGCAAGGAGGCTGGTCCGTCGGGTCCGAAAACTCTTACCAAAAGTTCAAAAAGGAAGCAACAAGTTTATAAATAAATGAATGGCGCATAAAAATGCAAATTCCGATTCAATACAAAGTCAACAAAAGTCTGGGGCTTTCGGTAATAAATGAATATTTATGCTTTTACCACAGAAAAACGGGGTAAAGCGTATTAAATTTAAGGAGAGATTGGGGTGGATATTTTGGTTGATTTAAAAGAACATAAATCGGAAGGAGATTGTAGGAGAAATAATTCTAGAATTAAGCCAAAAAAAACTCCTTTGACAATCTGAAACATTTCCTTCAATAAAAGTAAAAGAATATCCTCTGAAATCATTGAGGAAATAGCCCTTTTTGTATCCGGAACATGTGGGAAAGCCACAAAGAGAACCCCAATAAAAAATCGCCCCCAAACTGCAAATGAAAATTGGGTAACCAAAATGGAATGTGTTTTGTCCCCTTTTTGTCGCCGGATGAAGTATGGTTGGGGGTAGACCCTGTGATAAAATCAAAATAACACACGATATCAATAAGTGAGGCAAATAAAATCAATTGCTACGATGCCATAACACATCACGCCCTCTCCGACTCTACCCAACCCCCCATCAGAGCCACAGATAAAGGCCCAAGGCGTGCCACACCCCCCCGGTTGCATTGTGCGTTTTCCGTGAAGTTTTCCCTCGGGGCGACTATCCGCTTCCTTTTGTTTTGTCTGCGTTGGCGGAAAACTTCAGAACCCTTCAGCATGGCAGTTGTACGAGTATTTTCTTCCGCTGGTGCCCGACTTGGGATAAACAAAGCCATAATTCAAGCAACGTTTTGCCCTCAAGCGGCCCCCACTTTGCGACTTGCATAAACAAATTGTGCGCCCAGTGTATATAGCATGTAGCATGTAGCATGTACCAAGGGGGAATCCCCACCAGATTCCAGGCTCATCCTCTGCGGCCTGAGCTCGTCAAGCTTCAGCGTAAACATGATAGATTTATAGTTGGATCTGCCGCTGCTCCGCTGCTGTTGCCGCTGCTGCTGCCAGTGCTGCTGCGGTCGGTGGCGACATTGCAGTGGGCAACGTGTGGCATACTTAATGTGGGGCATACTGCCGCTCGGCTCCTTAAGCTTATCGCCAGCTCGTAAACACATGGAAGGATGGACCCTATGGATCCATGGGCTTGCAATCCGATGTGAGACTCGACGTCCTTCGCTTGTGGCTTGTGGGTGTGGCGGGTGGGGGGTGGAGGAGGGTTTTCCTTAGCACTTGACTTTGTTTTCGTCAATAAATTTTCAGACAAGTTTTTCCCTTTTCCTATTTTCTTGTCGTTTTTTTCATTCTCTCCGTCGGCTGCCACTGCCAGCCCAGCAGCCGGAAAAACCGCATGCCGGGCGCCTGTTGGCATGCCACAGTTTTCTGGTTTTCCTCGTATTCTTTTTTTTTCCATGACGCCCAATGCCCGATGCCCGATGCCCGGCCCGTCGACTGGCAGGCAAATGTTCTCTCTGTGCAAATTTGTGTGTTTAAATGGCGTGTTAACATTTAAATGTTCTTTTTACGCCTAATAAAATGTTGGCTCTATAAAATAAAGGCACAACAATCAAATAAAAGTTCTCGAAATGCTCTACAGGCGTTTCGGAAAATTGAAATGTGTGTGATTCGCGAGAGATTTGCTGCGGTGCGCGAAAAGTCAGTTAACGAGAAGGATTTTCTTCCAATAAAGTGCGGTTTTTAATTGGGAAATCGGTTGTATCATTCATTGATCGTTGTGGGCTTAATCATTAATTCATTATTAACGAATAAAATTAAATATTATTATTGCGAAACAATTGCAAGCTTATTTATGTAAATGTTTCCTTTAGGCATCCGTATATCGATTGCGGTTGCAACTGAGAATAATATTTATTATGGAATAATACGAATATCGGTAATGAAACGTTTTTTAATTGAATTATGTAAATACAGGAACTTTCAGACTTGATTCTGTTGATATTTACATGAGGGAATAAATGAAAATCCAGTTAAAGTACTGTGAAAAGATATGAGTCCTTGACTTTACGAATCTATGAAAAGTGAATGATTTTTTGTTGTACCTATATATGCCTAGGAAGTAGAGAGAGTCCAGCATCTCCTCTGCAGCTGTCTCGCACTAAGAGATAGGCGAAACCGTATACTTGGAGGAGACTTCTTCGAGGACCTGGACCTATAAACCTAACATAAACTTACAAAAATCAGTGAAATATCACAGGAGGACTGAGCAAGTAGGGTTGATATAGAATTATTAATTTCCATCATCTTCAAGCCCTTCAGTATATTACGAAAGCCTTGTATCA